TGCGGACTCTCGCGGAAAACGCGAGGCAAAGCCTCGGAGGGAGAACTCGAACGCTAAAGCTCATGAAAGATTCGATCGTCTCCTAGTGACGTGTACTGGAACGGAACGAAGGACGTGGTCGGCAGGCCGTGAAAATATGGATAGCAAAGCTGCTCCGCGCCTGCCATGGATGCTGAAGGTGGCGTAATTAAACTCAGGTTGCACGGTCTCTGTGCTGGATTCCTTTATGCTGCTCTGTCAGCTACCGTCTCATGGAGAAATTAACGTACATAAAGCCTATCGTGTTTCATGGAGTCTCGGCTCCTCTCGTGGTGTTCCTTCGACGCTCCTTTTGACGGTCTTTAGAGAAAAGATGGAGCGTCGTTGTTGAGTCTTCAGATTCTTATGTTTAGCAGGTATATCGCTGGCTGATTGGATTTTGGTATTAAATTGGAGCTGAATGTATTAAACTGGCATTGAATATATTGAAGAATATATGTCTAGTAGTCTAGGATGGTACATATTGAGTTACTTGAAAAAAATGCTTTTGATATTCCATATATTTTATTGAATCGAGAAGGTTGGGACATTTTTGATAATTTATGTATTCGATGAGATTGGAAGAGGATTATTTATTACGAACTTCTGGTAAATAAGGTGTTAAAATCGGACGAATAATATTCCTAGTTGATTCCTAATCTTCCATTGATGTGTTTTCATCTCCTTAGGTTCGGCTTATATGTCGATATCGACAGTGAACAAAATCCCTAAGAATTGAATTAGAATAGAATATTAAAAGGGTGGGTTATTTAGTAGGTTTGTCATTAAAGATTTTGATTATTCCTACTTGTGGCTGCAATAAATGACACTTGTTGAACCTTGCGTATTCATGTGAAATTTCTATCTTCATGTTTCTAATAATTTTGTGAATTTTGTTACCATAGCATAATGAAATCATTAAATTAGGAACGCAAGTGTCACGATGCTGAGTAGATAGGTGAAAATGTATTTTCATTTGGAATAAATAGCATCGAAAAATTTTTCTCGGAGAAAATATACATTTTCTCAAGTATCCGTTTCCTTTTTTAAAAAAAAAACATAATTTCTATAAAATTTCTTACAAGAAGTAATTACCAACCGTAACAATGTGCAAGAATTCTTCAAGAAAAAACGTGGAAAACAAAGACACGAATAGCTCGAATGCGGTTTGCGTTACGGGTTAAACTATTTGAAAAGACTTCAAATTCATAATTACCATTTAAGCAAATTGTAAATTAATGGTAACTAGAAACTCACGTATTGAATAATACATAAGTGATTCTAACACAGTTTACGTTACCGTTTCTGTATAATTTTAATGTAGGAATTTATATTTATATAAAACGTTGTATTGTTAATTTGAAGAAATGTTGAATCTGCAAATTCAAAAGCTTTGGAGATGTCTCGGAGAGAACGTCACGTATTCAATCCTTTCACGAATTTTTATCACTCAGAACTCACTAAAAGAGTATAAGATCTGTGCATTATCAATTTATTTAAAACTTAAATAAATTTAAACTTAAATAAATTGATAAAAATTAAAACGCATAGTCGAGCTCATAACTAATAATGTATTATAATAAATAATCATAACAGGGAATTCCTAAAATTATTTAACGTAAATTAGCGAACATTCCACGATCCACTCGCCAAATATCCGATGGAATAAAATTGTCGTGGCAACGACTCATCGATGAGGCAGAATTAAGTGAAATCTCGAAAATATTTAACGAACGTTAATTTGCCGCCTAATAAATGTTCGGCTCCTGTTTAATCCCCGAACAAAAGGACTGGTCCGTTATTTTGTCGAGCCACGTTAAATACCGAAATAAACGATAATCCTAGTCTGGACCTATGACAACGAGGGTGAGGGTATGCGAGTATTGATTTTAGCAGGGGTTCCGCTCTCTCCAGCAACCACCGAAATTCTCCACCCCTGTTCAGATGGGACCAGCGGCGACGATGTCGCATCGAGGACATTCGTCACCAGTCGGGTCGATTTTAAGGCAAGTCGTGCAACATCCAACAAAGAAATGCCGCTGACACGAATGGTAATCGAATTCGAGACGCAGCCGTAGTATTTGTATTTATGAACGTGAGAGGTAATACTCCCGAGAAATTCCACCCTCAATTTATAGAAATCCATATCTTTGAAACTGTAAAATATCTGCGATACGCATGGAAATTCTATGTGAATGTCGTCGATTTCATTCGAGTGTTTACAGCGGCGAATGTTGCAGGAACGGTTCTGGAAAATTTGTTGCCAGTCGTCACGGCAGCCACAGGTTTCTATAGTGTCTTATTATAGGTACGTTGTATCTAATGTACGATATTAAACGTACAATATAAAATTATTGCAATTTAAGAAAGAATGAAACGACTTATAGTTTACAAATTATTGCAATAATATTTAATCAATTTTCGTCGAAAGTGAATAACTAGCAATAAATGCCAGTATCTGTTAAGTAACGAAGAAAGTTTATGCCATGTTAATCGATAGAGATGAACATAGAAACGGTACGACGAACTTACTTGATTATCAAAATGTTTTAGACAAATAATTAAATGTTTGGTGTAATTAAATTTAATGAATAAAATAAAGTTTACAATTTAGGACAAGAGTGGACGAAATATGCTATCTTACATAATCACGTACATAATATTCTTATATCTGTTTTCAAATCTCAAGCAGAAAGGTTCACAGAGCTCTTCACCCAACGATATTTTCATATTTATTTCATCTTCGCGTTTCTCTAAACACACTCACACGTCTAAAACTGCAGAATTCCAATTACTCTATCTCCCTCGCCAAACTTCGTATTTCCAAGAATAAGCAAGATAAACACAAATAGAATTAACGAAACCGTTTCCACGAAAAGTCAGGTGATCATTACAGTCACGAAGTAGCATCAAGTAGTACCACATAGCAGTAGCGATTGCCAGAAAGCATCGCGATCCGCGATCGACGATCATCCAGATCACGGGGCGACGGTTGATCGACGTGCTCACGGAATCGTGCCAGCGATATAAAGATCTTTCGCATTCTTCCTGCTTTGCTATTTTTATCGTTCGCGCCATGATCCATCGAGACTTTGTTTCAACAATTCAACCGCGTTCGCCGCTCCGCGACTTGGCACGTACAAAAGAAAAATTGCCAAGTGGCGCCCCACAACGCATTTTCGAGGGGAACCTCGCTGGAATTTTGCATTATTGTCCCAGCAGTTCGGTTGACCCCGACATTTGGCAAACGCCACGCGGCGTGTAATCGTGTACCCGGCAATGTCCGACGTCGTCATCCATTGCGTCCACCCGGGAGAATTCATTGCGTCCGTAATAAGAAAAAAGATCGCGTCGCCTCGAGCACGTCAAAGCACTTCCTCCGGCTTCAACACACCGCGTTGTAATCGCGTTCGGATGGCCTTCCGTGTTTCAGGACGAAGCGCACCGAGAACGCCGCCTGTTTTGTGCCCGCATTAACGGTACGTGCTGTTTGGTAGATTCTTTTTGTCCGGTGTTTTATTGATTTTATGGGCCACCGTTAATTTAAGGGTGACCACTTTTTACAGCTCTTTTTCCGTGCATGTCGGTAAGTTTGCAAGTGAAAAAGGGAAGGCAGACATGTTTCATTAACTTTTATGGTGGGGTGTCACATATTGTGTATGAAAGATAAGTCGGTGAAATAAAATGTAGTCTTTTATACTGTGACTTTTTAGATGATAACTGATTTCTTAATTTCTCTATGTACAGGGATTCGATTCTATTTAATCCTTTGTTTCATAATATTTATATCTTATCTATAAGTTTCACTTGGATTTCGAGTTTACGTAGTTTAATCATTTATCATCTTTCAAGATATATCGATTATTTTAAGTTACTCGATATTTCTTAATCTTTTATGCATAATATATAAAGTCTGTAATATAGCGATATATTGTGCAGCCTGTGACGTACTAATTAAATTTTGTAAATCGAACGAAGAAAATCAAACACAGCGTAGAGGAAGTAATTTCAATTCGATACTCTCAGATTTTGTTAATTGTTCTCCCAACTTCAATATTTTTAGATATCTTAAAATTATAGATAAGATATTTTGACTAACGGGGACAACATCGACCTCGCGCGTAATTTAACAGAAAGAAAAATTTACTTATATTATAAAGTACATAAAACATTTATTTTTATCGTATCATCTGTAAGTGTACAAAATATAAACTTCACCTATATTCGATGCAACTCTCCAAAAATAAAGTTCGTATCACGTAGCGAACTCAAGGAGATCGTGCGTGCTTCATCGACAGGAAAGCACCTCTGGTGGAACGGTCGTAAAGTTGGCCCGAATCGGCGGAACGCTTTTGCATGGCCTCACACGTTCCACGGCAATCCCGATCGGATTAGACGCACCGTTGGCGAGCGCAATGTGTCTCGCATATTTCCGTCACGCTCGGCCGATCCTGTGCCTCTGTGGCGCCAGCCGGTGTTCTCCGTCTTCCTCTGTTCTTCTTGTCCATTTGAACCATTCCCTCAGCCCTTTTCGTCTTTTTGTCGCCCTGCCCCGGTGGTAGGATCTGGTTCGATAACAATTTTTTCGATTAAGCAAGAAAAAGGATACAAAAGTTGAATCCTCTGATAACGACCATGGGAATTCAAACGAACCGCCGCACCACTCTTCTGTTGTTAATTCTCCGATAACGAACTCGGTCGAAATACGTGGACCAATGAAAATTTTATTACGCAGTGTTACGCTATACTGAAAGATCCGCTATTAATTTGTTCGGGAAAATTGGTCATCGTTGAAGAGAGTGCAATGATTAAAATGTGGCGGTACTCGACACAGTACAAATACCACTTGACACAAACTAGTACCGGATGACGGCAGTGCAGTGGTTAGCGCCTTAGGTTACGAACGTTCGGGACCCGGGTTTCAAATCCCAGCGACGGTAGTCCGATTTTTCTTCATGGTTATTAATACTCCTATTTGCTGAGATGTGGAGAACCGCCGGATGAAAATGCCATCTGTAAAGCGAAGAAGAGGTGGTCTGCTTTCCCTTATATGCTTTAAGGGATTTTATCATTTGATTGGTTGATTGTCGCTCGGTTACAGCCAGCAGCTACAATTATCACGGACAACACTTACACCTCAGAAATACAGTGACAGACAGAAGAAAGTATAAAATTCAGTAAAATTTTAAGTAAAATTTATATTAAACATTTACTCTGCATTAAATATTTTCCTATTCTATACATAATATGTCCTATAATTACATTATAATTATATTGTAAATTCATTTCTTTTGTCAATTGTAATTCAGTTTTGTCGAATTATTATTATATATAATGTTTCTCCGTTTTACTTTAAAAAATTTGTTTGGCCGTCACTATACAGTGTCTCTTATATAATGTATTCCACAATAATATGGTGAAAAAATTGTGGTAGTAGTGATATCAAGTACTAAACGTAACACGTTAGATAAATTTAACACTCATCGACAACTAGAATATAAAGACTGTATCAAAGAAATCAGAATGAAAGGTATATGAAGAAGTTTGTGATCGAGTGAATATAAAGTTCCTCAGCATTGCTTGAAAATGCGAGGGAAAGTTTGGCGCAAGTGCGCTGCATGGTTTTGTGTAGTGCGTGTGAGATGGGGTAATTTGTCTGGCTGGAATATTCTTGATGGTCTAGAACTTGAGAAAATATGGCTTTTACAGTGGTTGTTTGGTACCTGGGGAGACGTTGCACGCGGTGACGGTAGCTTCTTTAAGGATGAATTATAGTAGCTTTTTACTTGCTTGCAGGTTATTGGATTTTTTACACCTTGTCTAATATCGATTTTCTAGGTTATTTCATGATGATATAAGTAATTTTCGTGAGAATCTTATGAACCAAAATCGATTTCTCGAAAGTTTATTTAAAGCTACACTGGCATCCAATATTCGATATTCTTTGTTTATTTCACAATTTTATATTAATATTTCCGTTTATATTTCTACTACTTGATTTTGTATACAGGATATCTCTATTAATTTAGAAATTAGTCTATCCATACAGGTATCTCGTGAACATCACTTTATTTTTATTTTGATAATAGGCATAAATTTTGTCTAAACAGATGTGTTTTTGAAATTTCAAGATGATCTTTGATTTAAGTAGCGTTCAGTTATACATTATACATTTTATAATAAATATTGTTTTAATTAACATTTCATCTTCAAAATTCTGTATACTTATCGAATATTCTTTCCTACGTTTTTCCTTTTCCACTCCTCATTTCTGTCAAATCAAAATCTTCTAATATTTCAATACTCCAAATCTTCTAATAAAGAACGTTCATCAAATATTAATCTCATAGGAACCTAATACGCTACTTACTACTCACATATGTACATACATATGTATATACATCAATTGTTTTATTTTATCGTCTAATTGATAACTAGCTTGTAAAAGTTACAGATATGCCAAGTACAATGCTGGTCAGAAAAGTCCAAACTAGAACATCCAAACGTAAAATTACTTTCGTCGTCGAAGCTGGAGACAAAGGGGTCCCCGTGGATTCTCCCGTTTCCAGGTTCCATTGGAGTCATCTTGGAAAGCAGCCGCTACATTGTATCGAAACATTCCATACCGCTAGCGGAAGGGCAAAAAACGAAAGACACTCAGCATCCTGGGTACCATACGTCTACGTGAGGCAATTTGATCCTACGTTTTTGTGGAAGCACGAGCGTTCCAGGTAATGAGTGACGCTTCGCTTTTTCCAACAGTCGGCCACTTTTTTCCCTTTTTCTTTCTCTCTTTAAGAAGCACCGTTATGATTCTACACGGGGACTGAGAGTACCGGTATTCACGAAATGACCGTGCTCGATTTCGTCGCTGAACATCACGGAGGGATCGAGAGTCGTCGCGAACCAACAACACGATAACGCTTCTCCCGATCGACTTTGAATAAATAGCTATACAGCTCACCATTAAGGTGATTTATTTTCACGGAGAATGAATAATAATCGTTAACTGCTATAAAGTCAATCAACGATAATACATGATATGTACATATTGATTCGTAGTAACTATCTTACAGGATAGGCTATTTTATGTGATACCCGGTTTGTTAAAATTGGGGACTATAACTGTCGTAACCCAAATTTGTACAGTATAAGAATCCATATTTTAGCTTAAATAATTTTAGTAAGATTTTATCGTTGTAAATGACTGCTATATTTCTAGTTCCTGGATAGAATATCCTATCTACTATCTTGAAATATCAGAGAAAATTGAAATTCCTTCCTGCGTTGTCATTGTCTTTTTTCATTCAATTAAAAGTATTTGATCACTATTTCGTAAGAGCTTCCGTAATTTAACTTTCCTTAAGAGGCAAAAACACGAAGAACTTTAAATATTTCAATGTATCCTGAAGAATAACAAGGAAAACGCTTTGATTTTTAAGGCTATGATGAATCACACCGAAGAACAGGTATGTACGTTTTTCGAGGAAAAAATTTCGGGCATATATTATAGTAACTGTATCATAGCATATTTAGTAACTGGAATATTTTGAGAACGTATTAACATTTTTGAGCAATTTTCATATGAATATACATATCGTGATCTACATCTATGATACCTGTGATATTGTACGACTATTTAGAACGGAAATAGCAGCGACTAAATGATCTAAGTTGAAATATAAAAAGTTATATCGATACGAAGAATATTATTATTATTAAGTTTTCAGTTTTCAGTCCATTTTATAAAAACGAGTATTTTAGTCACTACTAATTGAAATTACTTATGAAACTTTTTATTAAAAAATCCTACTTCGGCTAGGTTAATCGTAGTTTTCATTTTGATACGCTTCTAAAACATATTTAAAGTTTACATTTAATTCGAAAGTTTTTCTATTTCATCAATCTTTTTTTCAAATCACTCAAATTATCACTAAGAAAAGTCACTCTCCTCAACAAAGGAAATTTTAAGGAAAATATCTCCACGTACGGTCTCCTCTAGAAAAACTGTTCGATCACGTTTATCAGAACGAGATTAGCTATCGATCTATACAAATCGGCTCTCCATTACAAGACCTTGATAGAAAAAGGAGGAATTCCATAGAATGTAATGTCAGGGTTCCGTGAATTGAACGATCTCTCTCGATACCCTAGTGAAGGCCGAAGTCGAAACGTCGATTGTCGATTGTCGATCGTCACGGTCGAGGAGTCTCTTTCCTCCAATTCCGTTTTTGTCGTTCGGTGCCGTTCGTTTACGGACGAACAGGTGTTGGACGAATGATACCGAAACGTTACGTGCACCGGATAACGTCACGGAAGATTTAGTTACAGCGACTGGTTTTACGGCTGCCGATTGCACGTTGTTCAGCCCTCGAGGACTTTGGCATTTATACCCTACGAATTGTCGGCCGTTTAAATGTTCGCCTCTATAATTTAATCTCGATGTCGAACGAGAGGTTTCGACTACATCTTCTTCAAGAAATTGCTCGCGAACCATTCGATCGATGAACTATCTACATTCTATAGTCGATTAACAGTTTATCTTCTATCTTCTGTAGTCGTGTATTCCGTAGTTTTCGAGTTTCTGGGACATCCCATTTAATTTGCTTGTTGGCTTGATTCTGGATCGGGAACTAGAAATGAGTCGTAAAGCTGAAAAATGATATGAGCGTATTTAGGTTCTTTTGAATCTTAATAATTCCATTTGAGCGGTATTTATATTTATTTCCCATAAAAAGTTGAAAGTAGATATCTTTTGCATCCGGTATGAAACATGCAAGGAATTTTGGCGATAACGATATTCTATAAATCGTGTTATTATAAACACTGCCAGAAAGTAAAAAATTCGTTCCGTTTATTCCCCAAAATTTGTCGATAATCCTAGACTGTTCTTCGTATAACCAGACCAACTTCTTCTCCATCTGCTCCACGATACGTACAACTTTGTCACAGTCAGTTCCAAAGTTTACTGCTTATCGTTACTTTCAAATCATCCTATCCCGAAGCATAATTCTCCGTACAACAGCATTTCGAGAATAACTCTGACATAGCCTACCGCAAGATAGGCTAAACCGCAGGACATTAATAAAGATTACCCTATCTCTTCGCTTCCTATCTAATACTACTGGGTCCAAAGAATCGGCCATAAGAGCGCATGCCTCGTCATCTGCGACAAAATGAAATTAGTCACGTCAGGGAAAACACGGCCACGTTCCAATGGGCCAGCATCCTCCCGCAGCCTTCGAGGAACAAAATCACAGCAAAAAATCCCTCGTACCGGTTGAATCACTCACGTAGAGCCTGCATATTCGGATGATTCACGAAGCCAGAGATCGGAGAGAAGGGATCATGGATCGAGAAAAAATTGTTTTTACCGATCGTTGTGTGTCCTCGTGTAGTTAGACCTGGTCGAGTTTCCGATAACGTAACGACATCGCGATGCGCGACGCGTTCGAGGGCGGTACCGATGGGTCGCCATTAAACAGGCAAGGACCTCGCGGCGGTGCTCCAGCAGGAAGAAAAAGGAAGGACGTAAGGACAGGTCTGCCGCGATTATAATAAAATCGCAGTTTGTTCCTGGTCGGGGCCTGCGTGTTCCCACAGGGCCCACTACTGGCACAGTCCACCTACCGTATCCGCCACGGTAACTCGCTGTACACTTTGCATATGCGCCGTTTCGGTCAACGGACTCGTGCAAGTGAATCGAGCGCGGAAGGTGGTCGATCCAAATGCCCGGATACGGTTTCGAGGCCCCTAGGCCATTCGATTCTCCGTCTCCCGAGTATATCTCCGGTGTTCTTCCGTTTCTTCGTGTTTCTGTTGGCTGGGGTGGTCGAACGAGCGTTTAGATTTCAATGGTTTGTTCGCGAGCTTTGATAGGAAATGAGGGAATTCGTTTATGTACGATGTGATGGTTTATATCGAAATTATGATGAAACTTTTAATTTCTGGTTATGTTTAAATCTCTCAGGTCAGTTTATCAAGATTTTGTAGAATATATTCATCTTTCTCTCCAGTTTCATCTACAACATCGACCGTTTAAGTCATTTACCGATGGTGTCTTGCTTATTTCAGTTTTTTTATGTTAAATTTTTTATATTATTTCATATTTCATTTATATGCTCATATTTATGATATTATCTTCGCTACAGATCTTTGTTATTGGACTTCTCATACTTATGAAAGGAGTTTTATATCTTGGAATATCGAAATAATTATACTTTATGTTTGACGATAATTTAAGTATCGCAAGTAATATTTATCTTCTTAGAATAAGATGATACGATCTTCATGCAAATTTCTGTAACAATCGTTTAAAAATTTAATATGCCCTCTTCATTGATGTTATATTTATGATGGCAATTTTTAGAGCTTAAGACCATCGAAGTAGATATGCAGTAAGTATGAATAGTTCGTCGATGCTAATTTCGGATTCTTCAGCTGTTTGTGATGCACTGCTCACGTACAGGAAGAACTTGTTCTCTTGGCTGATCATATATGCGATGCAAGATCATAACGACAGATTCTAATTAAGGAAAAACCAGTCCGCTAATCCAGGAACCCATTACACTCGGCCTTGTGCTAGTATATATGCATGTACTTATTTCGATCTCGAAGACGAAGTTACGATGCGTTTAGAAGGATCAAGCTTCAGAAACTTTAATTGCTCTTCAGATCTTTTCTGAACGAACAGTTCAATAGCAAGGAGGACAATCTTGCCAGAAGAAATTAAGTTTCATTCAACGTATCAAGTGCAATTCATTCTCCTGTTCTCTTTCTGCGACATTCATTTAACAAAAGTACATTATAAATGAGAAGGGCGGGAACTCTAACGTTTTCTACGATATTTACATTTTTGTATTATCGTATAGATCGTCCAAAGATATACGAGGCAGTATTCGATAAAGATGATTTCAAAATGGAACTTTAGAATAAATTTAGAATGTATTCTAAAGTAAAAAATGTATCGTTACGTTTTCATTGATATTAAAAGTTCTTCACTTCCTTTGAATCGGAAACATTTCTTCCAATCGACATTTTACTTAAATAATCTTCTATCGTAGGAAGTAAAAAGTTTTGTCTATGTAGTGTCGTAGGGGCCTGAGGGATGCCGTGCGAATTATAAACAAGCGGTTGCTGAGCATGTGTGTGGTGGGGCTAAGACAAAAGATATAACAAGACAAGGGGTTGCTAAGGGAGATAAACGAATTAACAGGAGTATGAGTTGAGAAGCCAGACAGTGCGAATTGCGTTGTCGGGATAGAGTTGTTAGCGTTGTTGAGAGAGAGCTGAATCTGTGGTGGCGAGAGTTGTTAATTAATTATTTAGTTGTCTTAATTATAATACGTTGTTGTTGTTAGTTCATGTTAAATAACCATTGTTTCCTGTTTAATTAACATCTATTTAATCCATTTATTATAAATAAATTAATCATAATAATTTACGATACTACACTATTATCTTTTATCTCTTATCTGTTAAACTTCTAACAACGTGAAAGATAATTATCACAGTAGAGCTAGTGGAAAAACGTCCACAAAACAAGAATAACGACCAATCGAAAAACGTAGATAGAGTCGAGAATCTTCCTAAAACCTCTGACTCGTATCTCAGAAAGCAATCAGTTCAAAAGAAGTATCTTTCTAAAGACGTTCGGTATTTGAGTGTACTGGACCAAAACGAAGTTTGTTAATTCGCCAGGCCGTTCTCTGGTAGAATTTCGAGTAATTCAGGTTATCTCACGATAGTCGATGGCACTTTGAGAAAAGCCATTCATACGGAATTCCTATTGGATTCGAACTAATCGATTTCGCTCGTCATCCTCGCTCTCTCATCCAATTCGAACAAGAGGAAACGGATGAAAGAATTATTGGTTTTCTGATTCTTGAAAAATCGATGCTCGTTCTGCTCCAAGAACGTTTCGAGGGAGAGAGAGAAACCATTTGTTTCGGCATCAAATTTTATCGTCTGACAGTTATAATGAATTCCAACGAGATTTATCGTTCCGTGGATAGTGACCGTTAAACGCGAGCGCAAAAATATGCGAATGTTAATGTTTCCACGCGTCGGGAGAGACGCAGTATTTCGTAACATTTTTCAACCGGCAAACCGGTGCCACCTCGATCAACCTTTACGAGTGGTTGAATAACGTTAAGAGTAAAATATATCGCGTGCGTATAGAATACATTTCCGGTATGCTGGTCCATCGGGTGAAATGTCACGCATCACGTGGTCTAGAATCGCGGAGGGCGTCCGTAAATCTCGCTGTAAGCGATACATTCACGCGAGAATGTTCACTGTCATAAAACCAGACGATACTTGAAACTATTAATCATATTAGCTTGAAAAAACTTCGTAGTATTATGAATTATAAAAGAACACACACATGTGGTGATGATAAATTGTGAACTTCACGCTCGAACTTCGCCAAGATGTATATGTATGTATGTATATTTGCTTAATCCTTTCCGAAAGAACATATTCAACGGAGCTCCAAGCTTTGTCACTTTGGTGAAATATATTTTCTATATGTCACAAGATATGTACATAATAAATTTCGTTTCTC